AGCAGCTTCCTCGCCCCGGACTTGGCCAAAGACTTAGTACCTCACATGCCACCAGGAGGTCCCCAGGCTCTGGCGCCTGTCCCCTGGTGTTGGCTTTGTCCCACAGTTCCTGTTTGTGCTCTCTTCCTTCTCCTTAGAAACTGACCCTTCAGGCTGACCTTGCCTCAGGAGTTGACCTTTGGACCCTTCTGGCTCACATATCTCCAGCGTGCCAGCCCCAAGTATCCCTACACCTGCCTCTGTGCCCCAGCCAGAGCGCTGATTCAACCAAGATAGAAATCCTAAAGGTCTACTCGGGATCCCTACACAAAGGGGTTTAATCAAGTGGAGCGAGTGCGTGCCTGTGTCTGTGTCATCTCCTGGGCGGGCTCAGCTCTGACCCAGTCCATCCGAATGACCTTAGACTGTAGGAAAGTCAGGAGCCTCAAGCCACACTTGTTGTCCTCCTGGGCCCAGGTCTGATACTCAGACATTAACGAATGGCTTCAGTTTTACTAGTGGTTAAAATACCCAAGCGTGTCTATATCAGTGGGTAAACAGCTATAGCCTCATGTTTCCTCAGTGTTCTCTGCCAACCCAGACCCCTTGAATCTCTGCCACACCCCCCAGGACCTTCCCATGATCGGTTAAATAAAGGGTTGATTGGACCTTGGCCTAGTAGGAAGACCTTGACCCATTTCTAAGGCCTGTGTCTGCCCTGACTGGAGAGAGCCTGGCCGTGCTGGTGATTCAATATTCTGAATATCACATCCATTTGGGCTCCCTTCTCTGCTACTAGGTCGTCCCCCTGTGGCCTGGTTTCTGACATGAGGTCTCAGCTCCAGCTCCAGCTCCACGCCTTTCCCAATGTGCACCTGCTAATACTTTGCCCTAAGGACAGGTGTCTGGACAGTCTTCTCAAGAAGGACTTTTACAGCCCAGCCTGGTGCTGTCTGAGGCCTTGCTATCTCTGACGGATCACTGAAACATCCTGATGAGTGACCCCAGGTTTCTGCAAACCCCTGCCCAGGCTTGGCTACATCTTCTGGTACTCTGCACACTGATAGGTTGTTCTGGTTCAGATCCTAGGCCTTCCTAGCCTGCCCTGTTTCACTGCAGTTAACTGGGTTGTGCCGGACAGTGTGTCCAGGGAAAGGCAAAGCATACCTTCTACCACTTTTAAATGCCCTCACTGCTGTACATACACGAAGGCAGCCAGACAGTCCCTTCCTCTAGTTTTCACCTTCACTGAGAGGTGTACATTCAGCTTGTACTCTATGGGCTGCACATGACCCTTTCCTCCTCACCCTAATTCCCCTGGGGCTCAGATCCCAGCCAGCAGCCAGGCAAAAAGCACCAGACAGACCAAGGCTGAGGGTGGCTGAATGTGTTCTTAAGTCTTCCCATTCCCCTCCTGCCTCTTCCCCTTTGAATTGAAAATAAGGCCTGAAGAGATAAACAGACTTGGAGCCCTAACGTGTATTTGAGGCATTGGTATGGAAGATGCTTGGGGGGCAGTTTATACCTCTGAAGTCTGTTAATCACATCATACAAAGAACTGTCTGTTCTGCACAGGTGGAGGAACAAGGCTATCTGAGATCAGGGTGTAATAAAAAAAATAGCTAACATATTTTTGAGAACATGATCTGAGCAAGGCAGTTAGCTAAGCACTTTACAACTATTTTCTTCTCCAAGAGACAGATGCCACAGAATTTCAGGTGTATAGCATACCCAAGGCAGAGGCTGCTAGCTTTCCAGGCCAACATTCTTTTCCTCTTTCCTCCTTGGTAGGAGTGTCCTGATTTCATTTGGGATGGCAGTGTACCCAGAGGAAAGTCCAGATTCACCAAACTCCTTTACAGCTTTGTGATTATAGAGAAGGAAAAAAATTTCTCATAGCTTTTTAGGCTCTTCTGACTGGTCTAATAATTAAGCTAATTTAAGACAGATAACAAGAGAAAACAAATTTTATTTCATACATACAGGGGCCTCACATAGACAGAGAGGGTCAAAGACAGGCAGTTGACACTTATAGGTCTTCCTGAGGAAGGAGAAGGGAGAGGAAGACAATTCACAGGGAGGTGGGAAGAGCAAATTTTTGGTAAACAAACATTTGCCTTGCCTTGCAGA